ACTTACATTAAATGAGCAGTATAGGCAAATATATAGAGATCAAAAGTAGATTAGTGGTTGCTCAGGAGTGGGAGGCATGGGAAGCTTGGGGGTGACTGCTACACGTCATAGGATTTCTTTCAGAGGTGATAAAAAGGTTCTAAATTTGTGGTTATGGTTGCATAACCCCAAATACAGAAATACTTTATTAAATTGTGCTTTGCTTTATTGCATTTTGCAGATATTCCAATTTTTACATATTGAACATTTGTGGCAACTCTGCATTGAGCAATCTTTTTTTGCCATTTTTATAACAGCATGTGCTCATTTTGTGTCTCTGTGTCACATTTTGGTACCTTGTGCAACATTTCAAACCTGCGAACAGTGATCTCTGATGTTACTATTGGAATTGTTTTCAGTTACCACAATGAACTGTGCCCATAAAAGACAGTAAACTTGAGTGTGTTCCAACTGCTCCACTGACTGGCCATTCCCGTTGCTTTCTTTCCTAGCACCTTCCTATTCCCTGAGACACAACAGTATTGAAATTAGGCCAATTAGTAACCCTACAATGGCCTTTAAATGTTCAAATGAAAGGAAGAGTCACATGTCTCTCACATTAAATCAAAAACTAGAAATGATTAAGTTTACTGAGGAAGGCATGTCAAAAGCCAAAATAAGCCAAAAAGTAGGTCTCTTGTACTGGTCAGTTAAGTCATGAATGGAAAGAAAAGTTCTTGAAGGAAATTAACAGTGCTACTCCAACAGAACACATGAACAATAAGAAAGTGAAATGGCCTTATTGCAGATAGGTGAAAGAGCAAGGGCTGATGTACAAGCTGCAGCAACTTCTCTGGAAGATCCAGCTAAGATAACTCATGAAGGTGGATACACTATATAACAGATTTTCAGTGTACATGAAAACTACCTTATCTGGGAAGAAGATTATATCTACAACTTTCAGTGCTAGAGAACAGTCAATGCCTGATTTCAAAGCTTCAGAAGACTCTCCTGGTGGGGTTAGTTGATGCTGCTGGTAACTTGAAGTTAAAGCCAACGCTCATTTGCCATTCTGAAAATCCTAGGGCCCTTAAGAATTACGCTAAATCTACCCTGCCTGTGTTCTGTAAGTGGATCAAAAAAGCACAGATGACAGTGTATCGGTTGTAGCATGGTTTACTGAATATTTTAAGCCCACTGTTGAGACCTACTACTCAGAAAAAAAGATTCCTTTCAAACTATTACTGCTCACTGACAATGCACCTGGTCACCCAATAGCTCTGATGGAGATGTACAAGACTAATGATGGTTCCCTGCCTGCTAACGCAACAACCATTCTGCAGCCCATGGGTTGAAGAGTAATTTTAACTTTTAAGTCTTATTATTTAAGAAGTACATAAGTCTATAACTGTCATTGACAATGATTCCATTGATGGATCTGGGCAAAACAGACTGAAAACCTTCCAGAAAGAATTTACTATTCAAGATGCCATTAAACATTTGTAATTTAAGGCCGGGCATGATGGCTTATGCCTGTAATTCCAGCACTTTGGGAGGCTGAGGTAGGCAGATCACTTAAGGCCAGGAATTTGAGACCAGCCTGGCCAACATAGTGAAACCCCATCTCTACTAAAAATATAAAAATTAGCCAGGTGTGGTGGCACACAGTTGTAATCCCTTCTACTCTGGAAGCTGAGGCAGGAGAATCGCTTTAACCCGGGAGGTGGAGGTTGCATGAGCCAAGATTGTACCATTGCACTCCAGGCTGGACAACAGAGGGAGATCTTGTCAAAAAACAAAACAAAACAAAACAAAACAAAACAAAACAAAACAACCTGTGATTTATGGGAGGAAGTCACAATATCAACATGAATGAGAGTTTGGAAGAAGTTGATTTCTAATCCTAATGAATGACTTTGAGGGGTTCAAGACTTCAATGGAGGAAGTCACTGCAGATGTGGTAGAAACAGCCAGAGAACTAAAATTAGAAGTGGTACCTGAAGATGTGACTAAATTGCTGCAATCTCCTGATAAAACTTAAACAGATGGCCTGGCGCAATGACTCACACCTGTAATCCCAGCACTTTGGGAGGCCGAGGCAGGCAGATCACTTGAGGTCAGGAGTTTGTGATCAGCCTGGCCAACATGGTGAAACTCCATCTCTACCAAACAGTATGAAAAATTAGCCAAGTGTGGTGGTATGTGCCTGTAACCCCAGCTACTCTGGAGGCTGAGGCAGGAGAATCGCTTGAAACCAGGAGGCAGAAGTTGCAGTAAGCTGAGATCGTGCCACTGCACTCCAGCCCACGTGAGAGAGCGAGACTCTGTCTCAAAACAAACAAACAAGAAAACAAAAAAACCCAAGTTGAACAGATGAGGAGTTGCTTCTCATGGATGAGCAAAAAGTAGTTTCTTAAGATGGACTCTACTCCTGGTGAAAACACTCTGAACATTATTGAAATGATAACAAAGGATTTAGAATGTTATATAAACATAGTTGATACAGCAGGGGCAGGATTTGAGAAGACTTGACTTCAGTTTTGAACGAAGTTTTACTATGGGTAAAATGCTATCAAACAGCATTGTATGCTACAGAGAAATATTTTATGAAAGGGAGAGTGAATCCATGTGGCAAAGTTTATTGTCTTATTTTAGGAAACTGGGACCTGGTGCAACAGCCCACAACTGCAGTAATCTCAGCTTTTTATGAGGCCAAGGTGGGAAGATAGCTTGAGCCCAAGAATTCGAGACCAGCCTGGACAATATAGTGAGATCCTCTCTCCACAAAAATAATTAAAAATAAGACAATCGCTGGGAGTGGTGGGTGTGTGCCTGTAGGCCTAGCTCTTCAGGAGGCTGAGGCAGGAGGCTCATTTGCACCAAGAAGGTAGTGGCTGTGCTGACCCATGATGGTGCCAATGTACTTCAACCTGGGCAACAGAAAGATGCCAAAAAAAAAAAGGAAGGAAGGAGGGAAGGAGGGAAGGAAGGGAGGGAGGGAGGGAGGAAGGAAGGAAGGAGGGAAGGTGGGAAGGAGGGAAGGGGGGAAGGGGGGAAGGAGGGAAGGGAGGAAGGAGGGAGGGAAGGAAGGAGGGAAGGAAGGAGGGAGGGAGGGAGGGAAGGAGGGAAGGAAGGAAGGAAGGAAGGAAGGAAGGAAGGAAGGAAGGAGGGAGGGAGGGAGGGAGGGAGGGAGGGAGGGAGGGAGGGAAGGAAGGAAGGAAGGAAGGAATTTGCCACCACTGTTCTGATTAGTCAGAAGCCATCAACATTGAGGCAAGCCCCTCTACCAGCAAAAGATCATAACTTGCTGAAGGCTCCGATGATTAGTATTTTTCAGCAATAAAATATTTTTAAATTAAGGTAGGTATATTTTTTTAAAGACATAATGCTGTTGCACACTTAATAGACTACAATGTAAATACAACTTTTTTTTTTTTTTTTTGAGACAGTCTCCCTCTGTCACCAGGTTGGAGTACAGTGGTGCCATCTCAGCTCACTGCAACCTCCACCTCCCAGCTTCAAGCAGTTCACCTGCCTCAGCCTCCCCAATAGCTGGGACTATAGGCGTGTACAACCACGCCCAGCTAATTTTTGTATTTTAGTAGAGATGGGGTTTCACTATGTTGGCCAGGATGGTTTCGATCTCTTGACCTCATGATCCTCCTGCCTTGGCCTCCCAAAGTGCTGGGATTACAGGTGTAAGCCACTGCGCCAGGCCAACTTTTTAAAATTTGAGACAGGGTCTTGCCCTGTCGCCCAGACTGGAATGCAATGGTGCGAGATCAGCTCACTGCAACCACCTCCTCCCAGGTTCAGGCAATTCGCCTGCCTTAGCCTCCCAAATAGCTGGGACTACAGGGTGTGTGACACCATGCCCAGCTAATTTTTTGTATTTTTAGTAGAGATGGGGTTTCACCACATTGGCCAGCACGGTCTCAATCTCTTGACCTCGTGATCCATCTGCCTCAGCCTCCCAAAGTGTTGGGATTTACAGGCGTGAGCCACCGCACACAGCCATAAATGTAACTTTTATGTGCACTGGGAAACAAAAAAATTCATGAGTCACTTTATTGCAATATTGCTTTATGTCAGTGGTCTGGAACCAAACCTGCAGTATCTCTGAAGTATGCCTGCATCTCTCCAACTCTAATCTATTATCACATGGATCATTCTAGCCTTCTCTTTTGTCTGTAACTTTCCATTTTAACAGTAAAAAATCTGGCAGTATCCTACTTTTACCTCGGAAAGTTACAAATGTAAAATGAGAAATAAATTTGTTTTGAGAGGAAATCACTTATTCAAATAACTGTGTTATTCTGTTTTGTTCATAATATCAAAGGCTCTATAAATACAGAACTTTAAAGCAAAACAAAATTCACCCAGATTTAAAGTGAGCTAAAGCTTTGCTTGCAACACTTTTCAGGTTATGTCACACAAAGAAAAACAGTACTGTTTGTATAGCCCACTGAGATAAAATGGACAAGGTTGCTCATTGGTGGAGGTGATGGTCAAGGGACTTGGGAATCTGTCTGGAATGCTGAGAGATCAACACCACCACTAACATGCAGCTATTCACATCATCAGCAAAGTACTGAACTAAAGCAACAAGGCTCTAACAACTCCAGAGATTTCTGGAATTGTATATCATATACTATTCTCATATACTATTCCTAAAATACAAAAAGTAACATAAGGTCTGAGGTTAAAAAAGACTCACAATACATATCAATTGCTAAGCAATGTAAAGAGTTCACTTTTGCAGTGGTCTGGAACTAAACCCACAATACCTTTTAAATAGTCTGTATACTAAAAACCATCAAATCATCCTCTTTAACTGGATATGAATTATAACTCAATAAAGCTGAGATACATTTTGTGACAATCTCTAATCCCACTTTGCATATATTTCTTTTCCTTTTTTAGTGACTCAACACTTATTTTCTAAATATATATTATTTTATAAATCATTGACTATACAACATTTGTTTCAAAACTTTAATTTGATTGAAAATTAACCTTACTTTTTCTTCTTGCTTTTCGGAACTTGACAGCAGCCAGATTTATTAAATTCATGCCATAAAGATTGTAGTCAATGAAGAGCTGTAGGAGGTAGGGAATATGCGCTTCATGAGGCTGGTAAAACTTATTCATTATGGCTCCACTTTGCAAAAGTTCACATATCCTAAATTAGAAAAAAAAAGTTGTATCATAAAATTATGTTCCCTAAAATGTTAAATGAAACAACGATTATAGAAATACAGAGAACAAAGCCCTTTTTAGCATACAAAATTTTCATCTCAATTTTACTGGAAATTGGTATTTTGTTAGAAATTAAAAGTTTCAACCAAGTTTTAAAGTAAGCAACATATTCTGAATAACAAAAAACTGCAGGGATGAAGAATATTTTGTCTTAAACCAATTTGATAATAACTATATTTAAAAATTAAAATACCAAAAGGTTTTTAAAGACTTTTAAAAATAAATAATTTTGAAAAGATTAAATATTCAAAAAAAGAAAAGAAACCATTACTTTATAATCTCACCATTCAGAGATATTACCACGTTGATAGTTTTCTTTCCTGAGTGTTTTTTTTCCTTCATGATGACAAATACAAACAACAGACAATTATATAGAGCATAATAAGTACTATCTGGGGAAATATATTACACATCTAGAAAAGATACTTATCAGAGAGAGATGCAGAGATGGTTTCTGCAAAACCTTAGAGGAAGTCTCTAAGCAAGAGGCTTAATAATGAATTATAGGTACTTTTTTCTCTGAAGAGAGGAAGGAGTATTCACATAAATAAAACTGCATATGTAAAGGGTCATGAGAAACCATGGCTTATTTAGGAACTGAAACCACTGAGTAAGACTGTGACCTAGTGTCAGAGGTGGGGCCAGAGAACTAATGAGAAGTAAGAGCATGAAGAGCCTGTTAAGACATTTGAAGCGGTAGTGAAATTAGCCTGAGAAGTGAACAGCAGAAAAGTGACATGGCCAGACTAGCTACAGAATACACAAGACTACAGGTAAGGAATTAAATAGGCTGTTGTGGAAAAACTAAGGATGGTGGCTACAACAAGGATTATAGAAATGTATTGATTCAGGAGACATATATAAGGGTGAAATGATCAAGCCTTGATGACTAACTAAATGTGAAGGGTGAGACAGAAAAGGATGATGCCTAATTTCCTGCTTAAGCAGCTGGTTAGTGGTGTTGCAATTATTTGAAAGGGGGAAGAACTGTAGGAAAAACTGGTTTGTTTGGGATTTTTTTGGAAGGGGAGTAAGGATAAACTCAATTTAGACACAAGGGCATAAGTATAGTGGGTATCAAATAATAATATTGGAAATGGATTGTAAAGAAAATAAGAATAATTTTATTAACATAGCAGAGGTAACTAACCTATTTCTGAGCACTATACATTGGATACTGTGCTAAAGTACTTTATTACAAGTCTATGGTACGATCATCTCCATTTTACAAACAAAGAAATTATCTTAGAAATAATTAAAAATCATACAAATAAAAAGTAGAAGAGCTCTGAGGTGGGAGGACCACTTGAGCCCAGGACTTCCAGGTTACGATAAAGTATGATGGTGCCACTGCACTCCATCCTGGGCAAAAGAGCAAGATCCTGTTTCTTAAAAAACAAAGGGGGTAAAATTCAAATCAAATTTTCTCTGTCTTGTGAGCCCTCACTCTTAACCACTGGGCTATTCCATCTATCCAGCAGGTGGGTTGATATATTGTTTAGAAGCTCTGGAGGGAAATTAGGCTATTCATATACATTTGGAAGTCAAATGCATAAAGATAAACAAAAACCAAAACCAAATCAACCCATGGGAGTAGATAAAACTGTAGAGGGAAGAGAAAATACACAGAGAAAAGATTAAAGTCTACAGCAGAACTCTAAGAAACAACCATAGATGTTAAAAGAGAAACCAACAAAATGGCAGAAACATGAATTTCTAGAGGTAGTATGTATTACAGAAGCTAATATTTAGGATTGTTTTAAGGCATCACAAGCAGCACCATGAGTTCAAAAAGTAAGGACATAAAATTGGATTTAGCGACACAGAGGCCACTGGTGAAAGCAATTTCAGTAAAACGGTTGGGGTAGAAGCCATATTGGAGTAAATTAAAGAGTGAATGGAAAAAGCCTAGTGGCTTATGCCTTTAATCCCAGTACTTTGGGAGGCTGAGGTGGGTGAATCACTTGAGATCAGGAGTTCAAGACCAGCCTGATCAATATGCAAAAACCCTGTCTCTACTAAAAATACAATAAATTAGTCAGATGTGGTGGTGGTGCCTGTAATCCTAGCTACTCAGGAGGCTGAGGCAGGAGAATTGAGTGAACCTGGGAGGCAGAGATTACAGTGAACTGAGATCCTGCCACTGCACTTCAGCCTGTGCAACAGGGCAAGATTCTGTTTCAAACAAACAAACAATGAATGGAGGTAAGAAGTTGGATACACTAAGTATAGATAAATCTTTCAAGGAGAATGGCTGTAAGAGAAAGGTGTGAATGTGTGCGTAAAATTAGCAAAGTCTTATTAATATTTAAATGGAGTGGGAAAGAAAGATGAAAATAGCTGATATATGAAAGAGATCCTTGACAACACCAAAGAAGATGGATCCTGAGCCTTAGCGGTGAAGAGGAAAAATCTCTTTCACGGAATAGGCGGCGAGTAGAGAATGGATGTAAATGCAGTTTAAGGGCCTTTGACAGAGGGCCTTAAAAAGCTTTATTCCAGTGGTTCTCAAACTTTTTGGTCCCAGAACCCCTTTCATTCTTAAAACATTACTGAGGGGCTGGGCGTGGTGTTTCATGCCAGTAATCCCAGCACTTTGGGAGGCCGTGGCAGGTAGATCACCTGAGGTCAGGAGTTCAAGACCAGCCTGGCCAATATGGTGAAACCCTGTCTCTACTAAAAATATTAAAAAATTAGCCAGGCGTGGTGGTGGGTGCCTGTAATCCCAACTACCCGGGAGGGTGAGGCAGGAGAATTGCTTGAACCCAGGAGATGGAGGTTGTAGTGAGCCGACACGGTGCCACTGTACTCCAGCCTGGGCAACAGAGTCAGAATGTGTTTCAAAAAAAAAAACATTACCAAGAACACTAAAGAGCTTTTGTTTATTTGGTTTATATCTACTGGTATTTACCATATTAGAAATTAAAACAGAAATGCTTAAGAAACTTATTTACTAATTTTATTTTTGCGACAGCGTTTCACTGTCACCCAGGCTGGAGTGCAGTAAAGTGGGGCGATCTCGGTTCACTGCAACCTCCGCCTCCCAGGTTCAAATGATTCTCCTACCTCAGCCTCCCAAGTTGGTAAGACAATATGTGCGTGCCACCAAGCCCAGCTCATTTTTGTATTTTTTGGTAGGGATGGGGTTTCATCACGTTGGCCAGGCTGGTCTCAAACTCCTGACCTCACATGATCTGCCCGCCTCATCCTCCCAAAGTGCTGGAATTACAGGTGTCAGCCACCACAACTGGCCTATGAATTTTAAAATAACAATAAACTTGTATGTATGTTAACATAAATAACATTGTTTGAAACTATATTTTTCAAAACAAAAACAACTTAGAAAAGAAAAACTTTTACATGTTTACAAATCCTTGTTTTAACAGAAGATAGCTGGATTATTACATTGGCTTCTGCTCAATCTGTTGCAATATATTGCTTTGGTTGATGCATATGAAGAAAAATCTAGCCGAGTACAGACATGTAGTTGAAAATGGAATAATAATAGCCTTTCGTGTTACTTCCATTTTGTCACATAAATATTATAAAGATATATAACCAAGGGTCAAAATTCAATAAAATTAATAATTTTTACCATGTCCTAATAATATTCTTATATCAAGCTGATTTTTTTTTTTAAGGCGAGTGCTTAGTGGTGGAAAACACAATGATTAGTAGTTGATATCCTTACTCTGATTTCAGACAAGGGGCCCGATTAACCTACTATCAATGAACACAGTGTAAAAGGAAAATCAGTATAATCTTAGTATAACAAAAATGTTAGCACTTTAGTATAATAAAGATAATTCTGACCATACAAATCCTCTGAAAGGGTTTCAGAAATCCCCACTTCACACTTTGAAAACCACCTCTCTAGAATGATGAGTTCTATTTTCTCTAAGAAGGTAAGGCCTGAGGAGAGGATGGAGAATAGTAGAGATAATTAACCAGAAAATAAGTAGGCGTATTGCAGGCAGGGAAGGGTCTGTGTGAAGCTGACAACCATGAATTTACAGTGGCACCAGTGTGTGATTTTTTTTTTTAAATTCTGCAGTAATCAGAAACTAAGGCTTAGCAGAGAGAAAATAAGTAAACGGATGAATTAAGAATTGACGTTTTGATTTGGCAGACCAAAGAGTACCACAATTTTTGCTTATATATTTGAGTTACTTGTTTATTCTTTATCTCCCCAGCTTGTTGTAAGTTCCCTGAGGGCAAGAACCACGCACACTTTGCCACCATGTTTGCCCAGCAACTTCCACAGATCATCAAATAATACAGGCACTTTACAAGCATTTATTAAAAATGCATAAACAGGTCTGATATGGTGGCTCAGGCCTGTAATCCCAACACTATGGGAGACTAATGTGGGAAGATCACTGGAGCCCAGGAGTTTGGGGCTGCAATGAACTATGACTGCACCACTCCAGCCTGGGTGACAGAGCAAGACTGTCTCAAAAAAATAATAAATCAGAGATTTCAGGCTGGCATCATAAGCTGAGTATATAATTTAAGGCAAACTTTTTGAGAAGAGTTTAGTGTTTGCTATAGTTGCAAGGAAAAAATTGATTATATTTATACTTTAAGTAGTTTATCGGTTATTTATATAACACTTATGGCTCTTTTAATCATGGCTCCCACTCCAGTACAACTTGTGGATGAGAAAGGGAAAAATGACTGAGGTTTACTCTCTTACCACTCTGTATATGGGTGAGGGAATAAAAGTCCACAGAATTGCTCTTTTGTACTCCATGAATATGAGAAAGTATGAGTAGAGGAGAGCTGGTATAAGAAATATCACTGTCTATAAGAGCCTATTCTGGAAAATGGTTCTGGCACCCTACATAACAGAAGTTACTTTGGGTAAGATCAAGGGCAGGATGCAGGAAAACTAGTGTTCAGTGAGAAGGGAATAACCAGTAGGATTAGAGCTGTGATTCAGTGAAGTACTCAAACGGTTGAATCCAGAGTAAACCTCATGTCCTGGGCAGTTGTGCCCCTTGCAGTACTTTAATACACTATGGGAAAACATCCAATTTGTGTTTTATGAAAAAGTTCCTTTTTGAAACCCAGTAGCTATTAGCAGAGAGGATCTCCTGAAAAAAAAAAAAAAATACTCAGCACACCTCCAAGGCCACTTTTACCCTAGCTTGCCACTATATATAGTGAAAATCCTTGTCTTGAATCTGAAAGGATGATTAAAATCTTCCATATATGTGCTCTTCCCTGTCCTCAATAACCTGGGCTCAAGGATGATTGAGAGAATAAACTAGAGGTAGGGAGACTGAGGGAAGAAAAAACAACCCAAACCAAAACCAACAAAAAACCTGGAATATAAAATTTCACCAACATCTAGGAGTCAACAGATTTCTGAGCTCTCCGAAGCCCTCTCTCTTGTACTCACTCCTACACATTTCTCCTTGCTTTGAAGCTAAAGAGCAAGTTTCTCTTAGGTCTGGCCAGAGGAGCACTAACATCATACAAGGCAGCCATAATCTCTCCTTACCTACTTCCACAGACTCTCTAAATCTATAATAGGGAAGCAGTTAGGAGCCTCCACCTCTAAAATATCCTTCATAGAGTCTAAGCCACTGGTCTCTCTATGTATACATACGTGTGTATTTTACAGTCTCTCTCTTTAATAAGATTACAAACTATAGAGGCCTTCTTTCTAGATTTTTCTTTTTATTATTAAAATACTTAAATGATAGTTATTCATATTTTGGTTTCATTTATCTTTGTACCTTTTCACCATTGCAGGATTGTAAAGATAGATCTTCATAAAGTGTCTTTCCTTCTCATGATAACCATAAAAAGGCCTGAAATATAAGAAAAAGGCATTTCAAATTATTTTCATCATTCAGAGATGAAATATGCAACTTATCGCCCTAGTTAGATTCAGCTGGCCAAATTCAGTCTTACATTTAATATTATCACCCCCACAAAGAAACAATTTTAAAAAACCCAAACCTCTCAGTTAAACCTAGCACAGGTTAACATATGAAATGCTGAAGCTTTTTAAAAGTGTTAAAAATCACTTTCTTTGCATTACTGATGATAGGAATTAATAATTATCACTTTGAAAAAACTATGAACAAAAAGGAAGAACAAACCATCCACACCTTAATCACAAACATCAAGACTCTTTCAGTGGCTTTTTTTTTTCTTTACTCTGACCACATATGAGAGAAACAGACCTTTCAGGCACCTTCTTCTGGCTCCCATTTTTTTTCTGTTAAAACCTGAAGTTCTTCATCAACAAAGTCCTTTACTTTCCTTATTCAGCTGTTTATTATTAATTTTATAAGTTCAATAGGCAGAGGCAATTTACCTATTACATGTACACACCGTATATGTTTCAGTAGCTGCTATGACTACACCTGTAACACACAACTGTATCAAGTGCAGTCTGTGAAAAAACTGTGTAGACAGGAACTTAAGAGACTGAAAAAGACCATGGCCTTACTTAAGGAACCTAATCATGTTATGGCTGAGTTTTTTCTCAGGGTATCAGCTGGAATGAGGAAAGGGGGAAACAAAAGACTATATAAAAGGGAGAGAAATCCTTGGTGCAAGACGAAATAAGCTGAACTCTCATGTAATCTCAGGAGGATCTGAAACTACACTGCAACCTCTGATATACAGAACACTATTTTCAAAGATGATGTAATTAGAAACAATACATAAGCAGGTATGAATTTGTGAATGAAATAAAAGGCTTTGTATTGGCTTAAAAGTGGTCTGTGAATACATGGTTAAATCTTTAGGTGGATAAACCCAATCACTCTTCATGTAAAAACATTGTTCTCTTAGGACAGGCAGATAACAAAATTTACTCTCATTAGGACATCACCTCTCTGTCATGTCTAATAGTATAGTGGATATCAAATAAAGGACTAATTTGGCAGCAGAGTTATTATTTTGGGTATATGCAAACAATTTTTTACTTGTTTTAAGCCACATGTATTATTGCTATAAAGTGATTTCTGTTAAAAAAAAAAACAAAAAACAAAAAACAATCCAACTATTTACCAAGGTCTAAAGGGTTCCTCATCTCATCCTTGCCTCCCACTTCAATCTCAAGTCATACCATTCTTTCTTCTCCTCCAGCCACTCTAAACATTTCAGACCTTCTAACTTAATCCCTCAAGTGGAAAGCTCTGCTCTGGACTTTTGCATGGCTTGTTTAATCTTCATTGAGAACTCTGCTTAATTTACCTTTTCAGAAAAGTCTCACCTGACCATCCCTCCCTCTCATCCTTGACTTTTTTCTTAACTCTTTTATAACACTTCCTGTCCAGTTTGTTGCTGTTCACCCTATTTTGTTGCCATGAAGAATGGGTTAAAGAAAGACACAATACATAAATGATCTCATTCTCTCTCACTGGCGCATTCAACCTTAATTACAGCCCTTTCCTGCTATGATAACTTTCATATATAGAAAGGTAGTCTTCTGGAAATATGGGTTCTCTTCAGCCAGATGAATGATTTTGCCAAAAGAATTCCTCATCAGGGAGACTCTTTGGGCGAAAAGAGGTAGAATGGAGGAGTTTGAAAGCAGATGTTTTTCATGTTTAAAAAATTACACCTCTTAATTAGTTTTTAAAATATATCACTACAAAGAAAAAATGAATGTCAATAGTGAAAAATCTCAACTAATTAATTTTGATGGATTGAGAATCTCTTTACAGAAGAGTCTCTAAAATCATGAGTTAGAAAGAATCCCAGAAATTAGCCTAAGGTCATCGTCCTATCTCTTAACTCAGCCTCAGGATAGTGACAGCCTAAAAAGAATACAGTTAAACCTCCTATAAATGTTAATTTGGTAGCTAAATACAACCATATCTAACTTAAAGAAGTAGGAAAAATTGAAGGAGAATTAGAAAAGGTAGAAGGGGAAGTAAAAAGGGGATCTAGGGAAGAAAAAGACCAAAAATATTAGAAGAAAAAAGAAAACTGCAATGAAAAATTAGAGTGAACAGCTCATCTTCTGTCCCATGTAATCAGATTTGTAACTCAACTACTCTAAAAAATGTGGCAATGCTTTCAACAAATACCCACCAAAAATACAGGAAGATTTATGACTATATATTTCACTGGGCTATTTGGAGACTCAACTTTGAAATGAGGAGATATATATATACATATATATATATGTTAGTTATTAGACACTATCAAAATTAAACAAAACTAAAAGATAAAGTATGTAATTATTCCTAAAATAACTGCTACAGTTATTGAAAGAGTATAAACTTTCATCTCATTCATTTATCCAATCAAATAGAGCCATCTCTAGTAAAGTGTCCTACACCATACAAGGTACTAGGAATATAAAGATGAACGAGATAAACATGGTCCTTTTTCTCATGGAGTTTACATGCTAGTGGAAGAAACACATAAAAATTAAGTAAATAACAGCCTGGGCAAGAAGAGTGAAACTCTGTCTCAAAAATAATAAATAAAAATTAAAATACCTGCAAGCTATATTAAGTGCTAAAGAAAACAAAGAATGGGCTGAGATACAGAATAATAATAATATCCTACTTAAAATACCTTATTTTAAGTAGAATAGTCAAAGAAAACTTCCCTGGAGAGGTCAATGATTTGAAAGACTGGGGAAGGGTAGAACACTCAAGGAAAGAAAATTGCATATACAAAGAACTTAGGTGAGAAACAAGTTGGCACAGCAGAGGAACTGAGAGAAGATCACTGTTTCTGGATGGAATACAGAAAGCAAAGTTTCGGAGGTAGGCAGAGGTGAGGTCACATAGGTTATGGCTGGAAGTTTAAATTTTATTCTAATAATATGAAGCCACTCAAGAATTTTTAATTAAGTTTACAGTATAAGAAGAGTACTTCTGCTGCTCAGAAATAAGATAAAAATAGAAGGAAATTCCATCAAATGATACTATGATGGGCCAGAGGAAAGCCTAGACAAAGGTGGAAGAAAGCAGACAGATTTAAGGTCTCAACTTGGATTTCACATAGACATAAAACAACTCAAATGTTCCAGTATGAGCTCCAGATCTTTCCTGTCATTTGGTTCCACCTGCACCGTCCATCTTACTAGCAGAACACACTTAAAATTTTGCAGTCAACCTTGATTCCTCTCTCACAATCCTACTCAATCAAACAGCAAATCTTACTAATTCAACCTTCAGAATAGATCCAGAAGCTGATGACTTCACACTACTTCCCTGCTACTACCCTAGTTCAAGCCACCCTATTTTCTTTTTTGTTTTAATTTTAATTCCTTGGTCTTTTCTACCTTAATATCAAGCCACCAAATTTTCTTACCCAGATTAACGTCCTAATTCTCTTCCTCCTCCTATTCTTGTCCCCTTACAATTTATTATTAATACAGTTGCTAAAGTAATCCTTTCAAGTTTAAGACAGATCTTGGCTACTCAAAATCATGTAATAACTTAGAGTAAAAGTCAAAGTCCTTACATTAGCCTACTGAGTGATTACCAAACTTAAGCATGCATAAGAATCATCAGAAAGGCTTATTAAAATACAAATTGCTGGGCCCCAAGAACATAGTTCTACCAAGTTCCCAGGTGTATTAGTCTGAGTCCTCCGTGAAGTAAATGCCAAATGTGTAGGAAATGTATTATGAGGACTACCTGTGAAAGAAAATGAGAAGGGAGCCAGAAGAAGCTGGCATATCCACCAGGCCTGGATGCCAGTCTCATCTCAAGTGAATAAAGGGATGTCTTATAGACCTGCTTTATTATCTTTGCTATGCTCAATCAGAGCATTAAGAGTAGCCTATGGAAAGCAGCTCATGTGGAGTGACAGATTGGAATTGAGCGTATAGTAGCTGGGGCCATTCACTCACTCTTTGTGTATTTGGAAATATAAGAGGTATATTCTCATAGTTGTCAAACCAGGTAAAGCTAATGATACTAGGTGATACTAGGAAACCAAAATATGGAAACCACACTTTAAGAATCATTGGTCCTCACAATCTCTATCCTCTCATATCGTTCTCACCTCATTTCATGCAACTCTTCTTTACTCTTCCATTCCAGTCACCTGGTCTCCATGCTGTTCCTACTCCCTTACCTCCTTCAGATCTCCGCTCAGTTGTCATTACTTTGTCAATGACACATTCCCTGATTACTCTAAAATTGTCACCAGTCTTTCCTACCCCACACTACTGATCCTTCTTATCCTGCTTGTATATCTTCTTTCCTTCCACAGGACTAAATATCATATAGCAAATAAATTAATGTTATATTAGTATCTGTTTCCCATAGTAGAATGTACCTTCCACATGCGCAAAGATCTTTGTTTTGTTCAGCAATATATCTCAAGTCCCTAGAAGAGTGCTTAGCATATAAAAGGTATTTAATAAATATTTGCTGAATAAATTACATTAATTTCTAAAGTTCTAGGAAGCAGAGAAACAGAAAAGAAAAAAAACAAAAATCGTCTACCTTTCATTGCCATAAAAATTCATGTTAAAAAGTTACAGCAAGAAATTCACTACAGTTCCATTAGACTAGAAGCAAAAGAATTACAGAGTCTATCAGCTGAATATGTTTTCTTCTAAATAGAATAGCGACAGAAATATAAACAGAAATTACAAAATATATTATTATATACTTACATTCCTGATACTAATGACACTTTGAACACATGCTGAGCAGTGGAAGATGGATTGCCTAAAGCCACATTAAGTGCTCTGTCGATACTGAATGCCATCTGAGAAAGATAGCTTTCTGGTTGCTGTCCATAACCATCGTATGGCACATAGAGGTAAGGAAAGATGCCATGTAGATGAAGACATGTCTTCTGACCTAAAATGTAACACATTATAAAGTTTAGTTTCCAGACACAGTTTAACAATACAAAACTCAGAATGAAACTCATTCAAATGTTCAAATGGCAACATAGCTTATCTAAGGAAAGAGTTGAAAAAAATCAATCCATAGCTAAAAGTAACCTTTATTAACTAAATTTTACAACAGAACGTTTGGAAATATTCAGTAAACACAGCATTATATAATAGTATGATTTAAATAGTAGTTCTGATGAAAGTATTTTTGACTATTTAACCCTCACAATCCAACTAGTTGTGTGTATTTCACTAAATCATCTATAAATACCACTTAGCACAGTGTTATGCAGATTACAAAAATTCACAAAAAGTTTACTAAACAAATATATGAATGCCTATCTTGGCATTAATGTTTTCAAACAAGAGCCTTCCCTAAAACAGAGGCAGCTCTGCGAGAAAGGGGAATGTAAAAGCAGTTTCAGTGTGTGGAATTTTTCTATTGTGGTGGGAAGGAGGGTAAAAACAAAACTTTGCCGTTAAAAGAAAAAAAAAGACAAAATCAAATCAAAACAAAATCTCTACAGATCAATTATCTATAATGGATTTCAGGGTATCTAAATTTTATATTTGGTGGTATGGAACAAGGGGAGACAAAATGAGTGGGGGAGTGGGGGGAAGCCAACATGCACACTTCTCAGAAAACCAGTATAGTATCAGTCAAGGTGCAGAATGGTGCTGACTTGCCAACAGACAATCCAGTACAGCCATTTTACTTAAAGAAAGTAATATGAGTGAGAACTCACAAAAGAAATGCCACAGAAACAGTAATGTAACCATGACAAGGTTAAGTAACAACAATAGCAACAAGAAGCAGATGCAACACTGCTCTCAGGAATCTGGCAGGGCTGTGTGGAAGGGGTTACTGTCCTCAGAGCATTGTCCCTAGTTTCCCTTGGGTATATGCCATTTGTCTAATCCAAACAGAGAGAACAGCAGTGATGGAAGAACACATCCATTTTTCTCATGCTGTCACCCACTCTCACTGTGCTCCTGCCAACACAAGCCTCAGGCTTCTTCCCCACCCTTTATCCCTCCTCACTCTGCTTCACTGGGCCTTTTCTTTTGATAGGAACGTAACTAATTTGATCACTATTTCCCATTTATGATTTAGAATGATTTATATAAAATATATAGAAAGTAATTCTACACTGTGTTGATATCTTAATGTTTACACTTCTTATAAATAATAATATTAGCTTCTCTTATTTTTAAGGTACACTTAGGACAGAAAAATAAATCTGGAAGTTATTACATAAAGCATAGCAAAATCTGAAAGATCAGTCATATAATAAAACAAGATTTGATCCTCCAAACTGTAATATTCTGAACCACCAACTGTCAAGCTTTTGAAAAACTACACATTGTGTTGTTATTATACCAATTTCAGTTTCTAGTTTGGCTATTTCATTTCATTTCTAAACATGACATGGTATTGGCCCCTAAATTCTATAATTTTTCAATTCTTCAAATAGAGAACATTCAAACTGTATTGATGAGTCTTAAGAAAATAGATATAATCAGTTTACTGATGACTTACTTAAATGCATTTTAAATATCTCATGAATAAATGTTATAACCATTACCCTTCTGGACAAAAATCACACTTTGACTCTGAGTAACTGGCATGCTAAACTACAGGTTGAGGGAGGTGGGAAGACAGTAAAGTATTTCCTCTTGACAAATTCAAAACCAGTGATTACAGAATTACTAGTGCAATGCCATATTTTACAAGCAATACTGTAAGTTCTTAAGATATTAGTTTTATAGTCAGTATCTCTTAATGGAATTTTGGGTAAATTTTACAAGAAACAATTACAAAATTGGACAGTACTAATAGTTTCTTTATGGGCAGAGTGTTTAACAAAGTATCTTAAAAATAATTTTATATCCACTTTTCCTATCTCTTGTGATGCAGGGGCCAGAGAAATTATCTATTTATAGGCTTCAGAATTACAACAATTTTGGGATGTATAATTTAGGAAAAAGGAAGAAATGACTTACTCAGCAAGCATTAGGGTAAGTGCTGTACCTATATATTTCTAAAACTTAGGATAACATTGAATTACTGATGGAGGTTAATGTTCCCAAAGTCACATAACTATTAAGCAATAGATTCAGGATCAATAAAACATAAAAAAATACTCTTTCCATTTAACCATGCTGGTTCAATGTTTTTAAAAAGTCAATGTTGGCTTCCTTAATTTCTCAGTTTTTATTTTGTATCATAATTGCATGTTTCCTTATCTGACGTTCTTATTTGATGGCAAACTCTCAGGGAGGTGATACTGCATTCAAATGAACATTATGACCCAGAACGCAATAAAAAACACATGGTATGTGCTTAACGAATATTTATTAAATGAATTAAAGAACCCACAGCAAAACAGAATAACTGCTTAAGGAGAAAGGAATGATGTGAAAGCCTTTGAAAATCTGAAGAAACAAATCCATGAAAAAAGAGGGACTCTGATACAATCAATGTAACAACCATCAGGGTTGCAGGTGGACATGGGTGTGTGGGGTTGAGAAGTGTCCCCAGCATATTGCACTTTCCTACCCTGAATGACCTGAAGTTCCATGCAAATTTGTAGTCACTCTATCAATACACACACATGTCTCTCTCCAGTGCTCCTGCAGCTAAAGATGGCTCAGAGCCTTACTCATTACTCTTCCTCAAGAACAATCTCTTGAAGAACCACCACAACACAAGGAATTCTTGGCACAGCACTAACAGCTCTAATATAGAAGAATAATATAAGATAAAATGAAAGAAACAGGATAAAATAAGAAACTCAGAAGTTAAATAAGGAAAGAGAAATGTGTAAAAATGAATATGAGAGTCAATTTCTTTTTGGAAATAGTATGTCTTCTATTAACATAAAATTTGTAGTTCTGTAATAGCATGGCTTTATCTTGACAAGATACCGACCACTTCTGTTTATGTCCCTCCACTAGCTCTACCTCACACAAATGTGTGGAGCTACAGAGCTGCAAAGTCCTTAGAGATAAACTAGTCTACTACAACTCCATAGTTAGGATTAGGTTAATCTGTGAGAAAATGACCCCAAGTCAATGGATTTAGCATTAAAATCAGTGGCTTCTCCCTGAAAAGAAGTCCAGAGGTAGGCAGCTGGTACTAGAGACCCAGCTTTTTTCAACATCTCGTTAGTGGTCTAGTTAAGAACTTGTGACTTCAGTCGAGGCACTTTTCCACTATACTTTTAGAAGTTCCACATACAAGATTCTTTCAAGAATGTTTTTATAAAATTAGTGCAAGTTATGGTATTTCGAAACCTTCTACTAAATGATTTTGGATTCTTAAAGGACTAGGATATTAGCTATTTCTAGGTTACATATAGATTTAAGGAAGAAAACATGCCTACCCCCTCAACTCTATTAAGGTATAATTGATAAATAAAAATTGTACATATATATGGTATACAACATGACACTTTGATATGTATACATCGTAAAATGATTAAATCAAGCTAACATATCCATCACCTCACATACTTATTAATTTGTGGTAAGAACATGTAAGATCTAATCTCTTAGCAATTTTCAAGTATATAATGCATATATTAACTATAGTCATCACTATGCAGTACAACTAATCTCCAGAACTTATTCATCACATCTAACCGAAGCTTCATACACTTTAAGCAACGACTCTCCTTCCCCTCCCCTGAAAGTCCCCTCTTATTATCATAGCAAACTGAAGTTAGATAATAAGCCCAACAGAAAATAAGATCGTCTTTGGGAGAATAAGCCCATGTACACAGTTTTCAAAAATTTAAGAGTTTGAATTTTCCAATGTGATTGACGTTCCCTAATTTAAAAATTGCAACAGTTATTTCAGGAAAGTGCCACTGAAACTTGACAGGATGGCAAAACTCTGTGGAGTTGGCTACTTTCCATTGTGTGTAAGTATTTCTTGCACAACAAAAGGCAGATGCCTCTTCAGCAGCAAGTATGTGGGTGTTCTGAATTTTCATCTTTCACAGAGCCCAGAATTATCCTAAACATTAAGTCTTTTGTATCCCAACATTTCTTATGTCATTTTTCAACATTTTATTCTGCAATTTAAGTGTCTTGTTTTGGTCTCTAAATTGCCCATCTAAAATTTTGTTACCCTATTTGTAGCAAAATTATTTGTATTTTTGTAGTTCCAGTTTCGATAAACACAAAGACTAAATGTATCACTTCTTTTTTTTTTTTTTTTGAGATAGAGTCTCACTCTGAAACCCAGGCTAGAGTGCAGTGGCACGATCACGGTTCACTACAGCCTTGTTGTCCTAGGCTCAAGCAATCTTTTCACCTCAGCCTCCNTGTATTTTTGTAGTTCCAGTTTCGATAAACACAAAGACTAAATGTATCACTTCTTTTTTTTTTTTTTTTTGAGATGGAGTCTCACTCTGATACCCAGGCTGGAGGGCAGTGGCCCAGTCTCCACTCCACTGCCACCTCCACCTCCCAGGCTCAAGCAATACTCCTGCCTCAGCCTCCCAAGTAGCTGGGACTACAGGCTCTTGCCACCACGCCCAGCTAATTTTTGTATTTTTAGTAGAGACAGGGTTTTACCATATTGGTCAGGCTGGTCTTGAACTCCTAGCCTCATGATCCACCTGCCTCGGCCTCCCAAAGTGTTCAGATTACAGGCATGAGCCACCACACACCACCCTAAATGTACCATTCCCCTAATTCAGGGGTCTGCTAACTTTTTCTGTAAATTGACAATAAATATTTTAGGCTTTATGGGCCATACTGTATCTGATACAATTACATAACTGCTGTTGTAACCTGGAAGCAGCTGTAAGCAATACTTAAGTGAATTGGCATGATTGTGTTACAATAAAACTTCATTTACAAAAATTGGCATCAAGAGGGATTTGGCCCAAGGAAAGTAGTTTGCCAATCTCTGCTCTAATTAATCAGACTTCTTTCTCCATCATCATCTGG